TATATGGTTTTGGATTGTGGGGAAAGAAGCACGAAGACTCGCACACGGACGCACGGTTTGGGGAGTAGAATCGCAGCCACAAGTCCGGAGGCGTGTGACATCTCCGCCACGTCCAAGTCACTGTGCTGCCTATGCATTAACGGGATATTTTTGCATGTATCCGTTTTGTTGATTACTTGACACTTGCTCAGCAAAATAATACACCTGCGTGTATAGATGGTGCTTTAGGGCAGTTATTCAGGGAACGCACCTTCCTGTTGGGGACCACAGCGACTTCTCCTTAAACCATGAGTGAAACCTGCGACCTTCACGGCATGAAGTCCTTCAGGGCACCTCTTCCTGTTTTTATGGGGTTTTTTTTTTCAACCATAGCGTGGAAGTTGTCATGTTTCAGGGCTTTTCTTCTGAGGGATGTTTTATTTTTGCAGAAATACTTTTCCTCTGTTTTTGTTCACGGTCCCGCTGAATGTATGCTTTTGTGGACAGGACGAGTGGTATCATTTTATTCAGTATTTGGAGGCTGTTTCTGCAGGTGTCATTTCCGTCGCTACAAAATAGGCACATTGGATAAAAGATGGATTCTCAGCTCCTCTAAGATGTTTTTTTGTATTTGGTACCTTGCTTGTGATTGTTGCCCTCTGCAGCAGTTCTGACCCCAAACTGCAGTTGTGACATTGGCCACCAGGGGCTTCAGTGGCACTATTGATCCAGGAGTCTCTGAGGGCTGTTTCTTGCATACTGCTAAGATCTATATTATATATTTTATGTTGCACATTAGCTGTGTTTGCATTTGAGAGCAGTTGCAGTGACTCAGGGCTGGAGTGGGATTAAAATTCGGCCCTGGACTTTGGATTTTACCTCATGGGAGGTTGGGGGGGTATGCCAGACAGTCAGTGCCCTCTTAAAATGACATGTGCCAATGTAACGTGAGACGACTGCAGGCAGACTCACGGTAGCTAGTGTCACTCATTTTCAAGGGGTTGTATTTTCAAGCATCTGAAAAGATAAGAGAATCAAGATTTTCCATCTAACAAAAATGCTATTCTAAAAACCCCAAAATATATACAAGGGGCCCTTTTGTTGTTGCTTTGGTTTTTAAACTACATTTTGAATACCTGTTGCTTAAACTATAACTATAAAGCTTTGCTTATGGTTATTTCCATATATCAACTGCGTTTAAAGGCTGTGGCTCAGTAGGTAGTGCTGTTTGGATCCCGCCCTCTCTCTGTCTTTGGACTTTGCGTGTTCCCTCCATATAGGGGGATGGGGGGGGGGGGGCTCCAGTTCTGTTCTGCTACCCTCTTGTTGTCCAAAAATATGCGATTAGGTGAACTGCCATCTCTGAATTGCCCATAGTGTTTGCTGGTGTGCGTATGTGCCCTGCGATGGACTGGCATTCCATCCAGGGTGTTCCCTGGCCAAGAAAGGCCTCAGACTCACACTCTACCCAGTGTGGTTGAAATATGGATTGACTTTTTTTTTTTTTTTCCCTTTTAAAAAGACTAACTACAAATACATCCAGCAGTGTGGCTAATCTGTTACACGGTCAGAACAAAAGGTTCCTCCTTGGTACAGTTTTGTTCCCCAAGGTACAAAAAACATGAATGTACCCCCAACGGTACACAAATATGTTTGAGTCCATTTCTGTACCTTAAAAGGTAAATTCACTTACACTATGGTACAATTCACAGACCTTTGAGAGTACTGCACCAATGATATATATGTAATTTTACCCCTATAAGTACAAACTGGTACTTTTGTTTCTGAAAGTGTGTATCAGCAGTGTCTCTGAAGAGCAGGTTGGTGGTAAGCTACCATTTAAATCAATTTATTGATACAGGTCCCAGCCTGGCCAATTATGCCACACAAGGACAGTAGTACACACAAGTGGCTGTAGAGGTTATGGGTGTGACTCCCCTGAAGGCTCTGAGGTGCCGTGCTACACAATCTCCACTCCTCTGTCCTCAGAGGTCTCTGCCCTCGGGCCCCACTGTCCTCAGAGGTCCTCAGAGGGGCCCGTGACCTCGCCCCTCTCCCCTTGCAGTGATGCTGTGGGGGTGCCTTGTTCTCACTGACTTATGATGTATTATGAAAGGTCTTGTTTTTTTTTTTTACTAAACAGAACTGTACCTGTGCCACACAGGACAGATTTTACATCCACTGGTCTATAGTTTAATTGATGCAAACTTACACAGATGCCACTTTATTACTGTTAAAATGGGACCAGCCAAAAAAACAGAAGACATCAGCTGAAACTGGTCAAAAAAATTTCAAGGGGGACTAAGAAATCTACAGAAGAGGATTAGGGCCACCATGAAAATATTAGTGGTACCTCAGTTCTCAAACTCATTAGAACTCGAATTTTGAACCAGCGAGTTCGAAATTTTTTTTTACCTAGAACTCGATCTGAATCTCAGAAGTCGAACCGTAAACGCCGACCTAAAATAACTTGTACGTGTGGGGAAATGAGTCACACCGCACGTCTCTCAGCGGAAACAAAGGGTAACGCTTCAGTCTCAGTCGCTGTGATAGCATTGTGCATGTTTACACTAGCTGAATACATATATTTAGACAGTAAAAATACATTGACAATGATAGACAGTAACAGTAATTATTATTATATAATAAAATACATTTAAAAATAGATTTCTAATTATTTTAATATTAATAATAAACCATTAATACATTTAATTATAATAAAGTTGTCGTGCCGAGTGGGGACAGAACGGAGACAAAGGCGCAGACGTCAGGGTATCGGGGAATACGGGGTTTAATTACAGGTAAGGCAGGCAAAACGCAATCGGACAATACAATGACCGGACTGGGGAAACAAACTGAAACGCGGACTAAATACAGGGGACTAATGACAACAACCAGAAACAGCTGATCACACAGGGATTCCACACGGAGTTAACGAGGGGGCGTGGCACACGGAAGGAGCGGACGAGTAGAACACATTGGTTTTTTTTTTTTACTTTACACATTGTTTGGATACATTTATTTTCTTACTGTTACAAATTACTGTTTTGATAAATGTGCTTAGATGTGTTTAGTACAGTATATGCTCTTCTTGTTTTATCCTGTTCATTTTGTGTATAAATGCTAAAAAAAAACATATTTAGGTGTAATTTTTTGGGGCCGGGAACCAATTAATTGGTTTTCCATTATTTCTTATGGGGAAAATTCGATCAGAACTCGAACTTTTTAGGATTCGATCCGGAGTTCTGAACGGATTAAGTTCGAGTTCTGAGGTACCACTGTATTTGAATTCTGACTTTAATGTAAAGAAATCCAATTCTATTATTCTCCAATTCTATATTAAGTGTATTTACCCAAATAGTCCTACTTCATGATAATGGGAACATTAATATGCTCTGACTATCTTGGGAGTTTGTGATTATGTATGGGGCTACTACTGCAATTTAGTCTCCAACCGTTTCTGACCTGTTAGACTGGCTCTTTCTGTTTGCAGGATGTTGCTTGTCAGCTTTCAATATGACTTGATTGCAGCACTATAGAAGAAACCATGGTTACACGGGCATGGTTAACAATCTGGGCTTGTCCAAACCTGGCTGGGTGAGGTTAACATTTGCGCACATGTTTTGGTCCGAGTATCTTATTGTCATCACAGAGTCAGGTGTAACTCTCAAGCTGAATGTCTTGAATCAAGAACCACACTCTGTCTATGGTGGAAAAATGGATGAGATGCCTGTGTGCCAGAAACAAACTCCAACACCCATCACTTCCATTGAAGACCACAAGTGGGTGAACCACTCCCTCCGTCTGGTCCTTAATGGTATGAATCAGCAGTCCGATTCAATAAACATCCGCCTTGACCTACAGCTGTTTATCCGGAAGGTGCTATGATACTTGATGTATGCAGAGCAAATTTTCAAAACTCACTCAGTCCATAGCATATGTTTTAGAGAAAAAATCTGCATACTTTTTCAAATTTTGCAAATTTTAAGAAAAGTTCTTGGTTGGATTCCATGAGGATTGAGTTTTGGTTCCTGATACAGTGACTAACGATGAGGAAGCCTTACTTTAGGTCAGTTGGCGGTCTCATCTCAAAAACTATAAAAAAATAAAAATAAAAAATGGACCGAGTGAGTTTTGGAAATTTGCTCTTCATATGTTAGGGTGACCAGACAATCCATGTCAGGGAGGACACTTTGAGCTACTTCGGATTTTACAAACTACTTTCAAATTGAAAGGCTCCTGTGCTCAGCTAAATAGTTCAGCTCTTCTTGTGCTTTGATTGGTTTGTTTCCTTGACTGAAAGACTCATCCAGCCGTTTCATATTAGCATTAGTGACACATGCATGATTTTAGGAGACTGACCAATCGGCACACAGCAAGAGCTCAGTGCTCAAGTGAAATCCAGGTCCGTTTAATTAAAATGGTAATTTATAATTCCTGTCCTAGCTCAGTGTCCTCCCTGACATGGATTATCTGGTCACCCAATCATATGTGGAGACCATGCTCAGAACAACCAGCCAGATAAGCCATCTATACAGAATGAAAAGACTGGTTTACCATGTCCCAAGATTCTTGAATGATTGAAAAACTGAAGGTGTGTTCATGATCCCGAAAGGCATTACCAAATACTCACAGTGCCTCCTTGTGGCAATAAATGTCATTGTCTATTCGTCGTTTGGATGGAGTAGCCTTGAATACTTTTAGATCAGGGATCTTTGGGAGTGGGCATCTGACTCAATAGTCCATTCGGGGACACAGGCCTCCATCCCCCCTCTCTACCAAGAAAAAAATTAGATGCAGCAGTCCCAGAGAGCAGCCATTTGGCTTTTCTACCTATAAAACCCACAGGACAGCCGATGGGCTGGAAGGCTTTTAGCTAATATCCTTAATCACCTGTGAACAGATGCTTTTGTTATGTAAACAAGGTGGGGCCATGCTGAGACTCTTCAAGGAAACTTGTTTCACTTTGCCATCTTAGGGAGAAATCAACACACATGGGTTTTTTTCCTTTGTTGCTGAGATTTATTGATAAAAACAGTACAAAATAACCAACCATTTGTACACATATTTACAAATAATAATAAAAAGTGAGTGTGTACATTTCAGCAATCACTCACAATCCTGGCACTGCCATGGTATCTCCCGTCTGCATTTACCACATGTGTATCTGTAGCAGTGAACACTTCGCAGAGTGGCATGATTGTTCTTGCATTGGTGTTTGACCTGGCACATGGCTCTTTTTCCAGGGCTAGGCGTGGAGGGTTGTGTCCGAAGCAATTGTTCTCCTCTTGCCTTCTTCGCAGCCATATGAGAGCTAGCCAACTCTCTTGCAAGCTCCACCAGGAAGTCCACCCGTCTTTCCCGCGTCCCGGTGCATGCTTGATACAGTACATGTGCATTCATTGCTGCCATCTCAGTCATATTATAGAACATGGCAACTGGCCAGCGCCGTGTTCCTGTGCGGACAGTGTACTCCACATCAACGGTGATATGTAGACCAGGGTTGTAGGACATGATGCAGTTGGTGACAAATGATCCCCACACACTGGAAATTGCAGCGAACTTATTAGTCTTTGCTCGATCACTGCGGGTGGACCTGTCATCAAAGCGAAGGTGTCGCATGATGTCTTGGAAGCGGTTTCGCGGCATAGTTCCAATGATCTGTGGGTTTCCCAGGTTTGCTGACCAGCAGTCACGTAGTGATGGAACCTTGGTAAGCCCCCGCAAGATGAATTGCAATAAATGCCATTAGTTCAGGGAGGGCCATGAACCAATGAACATGCTCTGTTTGCTGTGCATGTTGAATAGTCCATTCTTGAATGCTATGAAGCATGTCAAGAGTGATGAAACACAGGAAGCTCTGAAGGCGACTCGAGATACTTTTCCTGGCCTTAGCCGTTGGCTCTCCATCTGCGGCGTACGCTTCTATTGGGGTGAAAGGGAGACGCGTCCCCACCTGTTCTTCACGGCACACTGTGCCATCTTTCGCTGTCTCTGTCAGGTCAGTCCCCAAACGAGCTCTCTTTTTAGGTTGAGAAGCAGTCTCCTCATCTGCAGTGTGAACAAATTCAAATTGTGAGCAATGGGAAAGTCAAATGATATCACAAATGCATGCATAGATACTAATAATAATTCCTCCTCTGTATCGGAATAATGTCTGAAATATCTTCCTAAATAAAAAGATACAACTAAAGCAGAAAAATGTCTTGCACTTCAGATGGCAGTGAATGTCTGCTAAGGTGCACAAACAAAAAAGTGGAAAATATAAAAAAAAAGGCAGAGTAGATATTTCTGTCACTCCGCTCTGCTTTTTTAGTATTTTCCACTTACTTGTTTGAAATGAAATGGGAAATAATATGAAATAAAACTTAACCTGAAGACTGATCAGACAGCTCTGAGTCCGAATCCGGCTGAAGTTCTATGTCTTCTCCATCCGAGTCACAAGGGTTTGCTTCACTCAGGATCATTTCCAAGGCCTGCTGAGTGGTGAGTCTTTTCTGCATTTTCTTTCCTTGGAGAGGAGGTTCGTACACCACAGAATTCTTGAGGGCACTGAAGTAGTAGGCTATGTGCAGTGAGATTTTATCCACCTCGGCACAAAAGGAAGTTCTCTGCTTTTAGCACCTCTCCCTCACCCACACATTCCAGTCAACCCCCACCCACTCCCCTGCGAAATTCCTCAGGTAATGATCCATTTGCATATGAATTGATGCTAATGATGGCCAAGGGAGTAGCCAGTTTGCAACCTCTTGGCTAAAGGAGGGTTAGAAAAGTCTGGGACTTCTAGTGTTAACAGAAACTAGCAGACACTACAACAGTTTCAACTGAGTCCAAGACAGAAAGTAAACAAAGACAGAGTCCTACCTTACTAGCAGAGAAGAAATCCAAATCAGAGCTTGAAGCACACTGAGTACTGAGCTGGACTCACCTGTTCAATTTCTCATTAATGCAATTATCTAATCAACCAATCACATGGAAGTTGCTTCAATGCATTTAGNAGATTGCTCAGGTAATGACCACATTTACACATGAATTGATGCTAATGATAGCCAAAAGAGTAGCCAGTTAGCAACCTCTTGGCTAAAGGAGGGTTAGAAAAGTCTGGAACTTCTAGTGTTAACTGTAGACCTTCAAATGAATCCCTCTACCTTGACTTCATGTTCCTGTGCCTCCAGGATCTAATTGGGCTTTTGCCATATGACAAGTCGGGGGGCAGTACAGTGTGGCATTGAATGAAATGGCTGAAGCCTGGGAAGTTGCTGTACACATCCCACTAGCTGTCAACTACCTCCCATGGGTCCTGGCTGGGTTGAGGTTCTCTTTGTGTAGACCTCCTCCCAACGTAGACCTGTGCTGAAGGTGCTCCTCCCTGGAGGACTAATTAGAGTAATACAGCAGGCCTCTGTGAATCAGGAAGTAATGGTCCAGGAGTCAACCAGGCGTCCTTTTCTTCCCTTTGACCTTTTCCTCAGCAGTGTTTGAGGTGATTGTTCTGTGGTCACTCATTTGCAAAGAACCCCTGCTGGAAAAAGTCTGAATAGGGCTTACTGACAATGGTGGGAGTGGTGGGGGGGGGTTCTCATCCTACCTGTTAACCTCTTCATCGCCTATTTGAACTATAATTGCCAGCTGCCGTGGGGTAAGGGGTAGTCACCATTTTTTTGGGTGATTCCCCTTAGCAGCACTGCAGGCATGTCTCTCGGGGGGCCGTGCAGCCGTGCCAGTTTCACCCCTGTAGTGGGGGCACTGGTAGGCTGGGGAAGACCCGGACTGTGATTTACACAACGGCAGAGGTCATCCTCACATTCCGTGTACGCTGGCGAGGGGTAGGGAGCCCTCCATGGGACCCCCCCCCCCCGAGGCAGGGGGGGGTCAGGCTGGTGTTATGTAGCACAATTTGAGCACGATCTCAGGTCTTCAGGGCATCATAATCTTCAGACACCAGCCAGGGTAGTAAGCGGCATACAGCTCGTGCCCCCCCCCTTGTTAGGCAGGGAGCCAGGATTTGGGTCCAGTTCAGCTTTAACGCAGTGAGGTATACCTCAGTGTCATCCTCAGCAGGGATCTTTGTCACCTCCTACTCATGTCCTCCACCAGTTTGGTGACATGGGACATGGCAGTGCAGGCAACTGTCCCTGCAGAGGCAAGATTATTTAACCAATAAAATTAAGAGACCACTATTTTTTTTAAATCTGCATTTTTAAATCCTCATATAATCCTGGTTCTGCAGGCAGATGGCTACACTGAAAGGCAGCCTGCTTCCAGACTCAAAGTTTCTAAGACAGCAGTACACAAGAACAAGGTGAAGCAGGAGACACTGGCAATGACCAAAAGCCAGTCAGGCAGAGGGCAGAAGCAGCTTTCTAATGTCAGAGATGACTGTCAACTTATCCGGGCAGTGCCTCATAAATCAGAGGATGACCTTAAGTGACCTTCAAAAGGATTGGGAAACATTGATGTGAAGTGCACTGCTATGATAGTGTTTCAAGGGCAATTTTAACAAATGACATTACCTATGCATTGCTTGCAAAATAAGCTATATAAACGTTCTTCATGATCACGCATCTAGATATTATCGATAATCTTGATCTTTTTTGCAGCATTAAATCTGCGATATAAATTCAGATATCAACCCAACCGCAGGCACAGAAAAAGGCACAAGTAACATACTCACTTTACTTTTTCCCCTGACGTTCTCTCCAGTGCTGCCTTAAGCTTTCCCAGAGCAGGGCAGTCCTGCCCACCGTTTGGGGCAATTATTAACTGCCGGCTGTGAGCCGTTAGCATTCCTCACAGGGAGCTTTGGGGCCGATCGAGGAAATCAGTTACTGGCTCCCTTTGTGGTGCTGATTGGCGGATCCCTGGTGGGTTGTTGCATCACAGGAGGTAGAGCGGCAACCTTGTCCACAGACTTCAACCAGGAATTCCTGGAACTTCACCAGGACTGTCACAGTGGGGGGTTTTCCTGAAGACTGAACAACAAAGGAAAGTTGCACATTTAGCTTTACATTTACATTTACGCCAGACAATTAGTTCTCCCTTGCGCCATGATACTATCAGTAATGGGCAAACTGCCCAATTAAAAACCCTCACACTAATAGTATTTCTATGCAGGGCCCCGTTATGCAAAGGGAGTTTCTCTCTATGTCCCCAACCATCACAACTCCGAATGCAAGATTACAGGTTAAAATGTTCAGAAACATTCACAAAACAGTGCCAGCATTGGAAACAGTGAACCAGGAGGATTTTGGCCACTGACTGGCTGAACAGCAGCAAGATAAGGTGAAGCAGAAGGCAGATGCAAATGGCTGAAGACCAGAACTAGGAACCTAAAAGGGGAAAGCACTCAAAAACAGGACACCAGCAGCACAGCTCGTCAGTTCTGGAATGTCTGCTGTTGGAAAACTTTGAAAACACAACTGATATGAGATATCCTGTTAAGATTGTAATAAACATCAGGTTTAAAATAAAACACTCTACCAGTCTTCCCCATCTTGAGCGAACCAGCATTGCAGTGTGTTAAACCCCCAAACCAAAGCTGGTTTTTTCTGAGTGTACCTTTTCCGCACCTTGTATGCACTGGTCACGAAGCCCAAAACAAGGTGTAAGTCAACAAGAACCGTGACCCCCAAGCCAATGCCTGCTGGCAGCTGACAAGCACAAAGGAAAAAGACCAACTCCATACAACAAACCTCTGACCAAGAACCGGCTGAGCCCTGTGCTCCAAGAGCAGCAATGATGCCTATGCCACAAGCTGCTCACTGCTCTGCTAAAATAAGGCTGGGGTCTAACTGAACCCAGCCCAGAGAAGGCTCAAGAACCAGATTAGGGAACCAGGAGCAGGTGTGACATCAGCAGATCAGACAACTTGCATACAGATATCCAGCTTCTCTGCAATAAGGACACAAATGGTCCTTATTTCGTCCTTTAATTAATTAAGAAATGGACAACAGGTGCCACTAGTTTTCTTGTGAGGCAGCGCATGGTGTGGCTAGGTGCGGTTGCATTGACTGCTGACTCGAAGCAGGTATTACAGTGTTTTGTTCCATATCTTCTCCTTACAGAGCTAACTCCATTGTATTGGAGGTGATAGGATTAATAAAATCATAAAGAAAATATATTAAACTGATTAGTGATGATTTTAATTGAATATATCAAAAAATTTAATTTGTATTTTATGAACTACAACAACAACAAGCCACTATGAACTTCCTGTAGGTGCATATCTAAAATCCTGTCTGATTGGCTGTCTCTCGTTGCCCTTGGAGTCAGTTACCAGGCAACCCCCTCCCTTGCAGCATCAGCACCTAACACGGATGAAAAAAAGACTGCCGCATCCTGAGCCGCATGGCGCGAGAGGGGTGAGCGGCTCTCACGTCCCCCGTGGCATTTTACACTTACAGCCAGTTTCCAATTTTGAATCCCTTTTACCCACTTATCTTAATGTACATCAGCCTGCGCACGCGTAGAAAGCGCAAGTGCTGCAGATACAGCGGAAAGTGAGGGAGCGTGAGTAAAGGCGGGGAGGGCGTTGATGTGGATGCACGGAGCTTGTGCGAACACGATGCTCTAACCCCATGATGACGTAGGGGACGGCGCAGTAAGGTGCATGTCGGGGATGTATGCACGAGAGAGGGTAGGACGAGTACCTGCGCGGCAGCTGCAGGGAGGGGAGGGGGGAGTGTGCAGTCCTCCGCCAAACTCCCACGGAGGAAACAGGGGAAAGACACATCCAAAAGCAATGTATCAGCAGAAAATCATCCGATATTAAGACATCTGAATTCACCACATGAAGATTTTTTTCTCTCAATCAATTGCAACTTAAAATCCAACATGTCCGGACGTAAAACCTCAGTTTAATTATTTTACACCACCCCCTTTTTAAGAAGACAACGGGGATGCTCAGGGGTCGGATCTAAATGAAGACAACCTTCGTACTTTGTCCACATGCCCAGGCTCGCTCCTCCGCCTTCTCTCAGGGCCGTCCCACGCCAAGTTGCGGTCGGGATCTCATAGGCGGAGGCGGCGTGATCGCTTCGTAATTTTAACGCGCTGAAATGCCGGGACGCGGAGGAGAAAAGGCAGCCCACCCGGAGGCCTAACGCGTCCGCCGTGAGTCTGAGCACCGCTGACACGGCCGGGCGCTGCTCCCGGTACCGCAGTGCTAAGGTGCTAGGAGGGAAGGACAGTCACAAATACAGGCTGGATAGTCACGTAAATATGCACTGTAGTAAGTGTGAGCGGACACTGCGGATAATGGTCGTAAACTCGACAGCGGAACTCTGTCTTGATCATAATGTGTTTTAACTAACCTGCGTTAGAATATAGCAGAAATAGTGTGTGCGCGTGCGTGTGCGCGCCTGCATGTACTTACGGCTCACTCCGGGTGTCCCGGTTATCTGTGGCAGTTGTGTTATAAAAGCCAGAAACGTCAATGATGAGTTCAGAAAGTACGTGAAGGTTTTTGTCTGCGCCTATATCTTCATGTTGGGAGTCTGCTTCTGCATCATTTACAGCTACAGGCGTGCTCTCCTGCTCCTCTGTCAGCTTAACTTGTGCACTTCGTTAAGTCTTGATCTGCTGTCCGGTTTTCAAGTCATTCTTCCTTGCACTGCATTTCCTCTTTTAAGAGCCTTTGCACTTAGACTAGTCATTGCATAGTGATCTAACTGGGCCGGGATGCCCTCCTTGTCCGAGTCCAGTAGCGTGGCCTCAGCCTCGGGGTCCAGGGCCGTGTCGGGGAGCCGCAGGGGAATCTCTGGCCGGGGTGGGGCGCGTCTCCTCCTCTACCTGGGCTTGTGTCACCTGGGCCTGGGTGCCATGGTCCTGGCGTTCAGCTTCACCAGCCTGGCCTTCACGTCCTCGCCACGCGTACGGCAGTCCTGCCCATTCTGGGCCGGCTTCTTCGTGAGTATACATCATCCGGGTACTAGGTGTCATACCCTGTATTCTCAATCTAAATTAAAAAACAAATCTTCTTATGTTCTTACAGTGAGTAAGACTACAAGAAAAGTGAAGTTTCACTCCCAGTGTATTGAACCATACATTTAAGACACTCACTTTAGCCTAATAATGTAGAATATTCACTGTCAAAATACTCCATGTGAGGCTAAATTTAGCTGACCCTGGCTTGTAAATTTTCCCTCTGTTAAGTGTCTGTCACATGATGATGTTTACCCCAGTGGTGCTTTCTTTTTCCTTTTTCCTCTCGCCATATTTCTTCACCTCTTGGTCTATATGTCCCCCCTCCCCCCATTTAATGTCTGTACCCAGGTGGTGGCCTCAGGACTGGTCGGTGTGGTGTCCTGGAGAAGACCACTAACTCTTGTGGTTTGTGTCATGCTCATCTAGATGTCAGTCTTTAATCCATCCTTCTTTCCGTCTGTTGGAAGTGCGTTAGTTTGCATAGTCACGCCTGGCACGAGCTGTCAGGAGCCCTGTTACCTGAATAAATACCATTCTATTTTTAGATCGGCCGTGTTTCTTCTGGCAGCATCACATGCTCTTCCTCCACGGTCCTGCAGGTGTCGCTGTTCATGCTCCTGTCGGCCGTGTGTGTCATCCTCAGCCTTGCGGGTTCCATGCTCTCCTGCCAAAATGCACAAATGGTCAAGTCCCTGCAAGCCTGCCAGGTACAGTTTCCCCATCACGGCCAGACAGACACACATACAGGAAGACACGCACTTGCACAAGTGTTTTATTGACCCCGGGAAACACTGCACTTGTGAAATTGAAAACCTCTTACCTAGATATGTTTCTATAGATCACTTTTATGTGTACATACTACAATAAAATGAGATTCTTAATTGTGTGCTTCCCTCTGACCAAATGAGTACAAGAAATAACAAAAGATAACGAGAATCACGCCATCATAGACAGGCAGCATCTGCCATGACGGTTTAGGATTTGCTATCGAACACATTTACTGTGGTCGGGTGCTTATCAGGAGCTAGGAGGGAGCAAAAACGTGGAGTTTCTGCAGGTTCCCAAGGGCCAGATTGGGAAACACTGATGTAGACAGATGTGTCTGCTTTGGTTCTCCGTTCCACACCCAGCCTGTCCTTCTTGAGCCCTGAATCGTGCTTGGTCTCGTTCTGCAGGTGGAGAAAGGCTTATGCTGGTGCTGCCAGACGGGGGGCACCTGCTCCATGACGGCGGACCCTTTGGTCCTATACCAGCACGCCGAATGCCACTCTGTCCGTCACCAGTTGAAGGTGTGCGTAGCGCCCGTGCGATGCCAGCCGTTCATTGCTCAGCTGCTCAGTGGTCGAGCTGAGGTCTCTGTGCTCGCTTAGGACCTGCTGTTCAGCGCTTGCAGCCTCAGCATCCTGTCCACCATCATCTGCACGCTCTCCACGGTTACCTGCAGCATACACATCTTCTCGCTGGACCTGCTGCACTTGGTGAGCCCGGATCCGCCAGCCGTGTGCCCGGGCACAGCTACGCACGCTTACACTCGCTCAGAACACCGTCAGCATGGCGCTGTAAGGCACCGTGAGCTGTCCGTTTTTTTTTTGGTGACACTGTGGTTCTCTTCTCCTCTCTCTGTCGTTCCTTTCCTTCACGCTGCTCTCCCTCTGCTCAGCTGGTGCCTCACCGCTCTCGCTCGGTGAATCCCGAGTGCTCCACCCCGCAAGACGCCTTCCTCGCCAACGTTGTGGACTTTGAGGAGTTTGTGCCCCCGATTCCACCCCCCCCTTATTACCCCCCGGAGTATACCTGCAGCTCAGAGACGGACGCACAGAGGTGGTCCCATGCACGCGCGTGTGCGCGCGCGCGCACACACACACACACACACACACACAGATACACATATATATGCACATACACACAGACTGAAAAAATGTCCCTGCAAGGTAAAAAGTTGCAGATTTTTATCATATTGTTGGGAAATCTGGTCCTCACAATGTAATCCTTACAAAAACGCACACGCACACACACAGACGCACACACATAGACTGGAACACAGACCCTCTCATACACACACACAGAGGCAGACGCACTGGGGGCTGTCCTGCTCGCAGGCTGCGGTTTTTGGGCCAGCACTGCAGAACGGACCTGGTAGCAGCTTGGCAGAGATGCTCTGGTAAACTGATAGCCAGAGGCAGAGGCCCGCCATGCGGCCCATCCTGCCGTGTGCTGACCGAGACGGTCCCTTAGCGGCCCATTTGATAACACCGCCCCACCTTTGACACTGTGCTCAGTGAAAGCAGTTTTTTGTTGGGGGGGGGATTATGTTTATATTACATTGTGAGGACCAAATGTTCCCTGCAAGGAGATAATAACCTGTTATTTTGATGTTGTGGGGACCTTTTTTCAGGTCCCCACACAGATCTGTGAATGCAATCAAAAATTTTTAAATGCCTCATATTTTGTTTGGTTACTTATGTGTAAGGTTAGGGCTGGGTAGGGGTTAAGGTCGTCATGTTGGGATTAGAGTCCCCACAAAGATATAATTACAAACCTGTGTGTGTGTGTGTGTCTCCCCCTGCAGTATCACATACAATGGCTCCATGGAGAGTCCTGTGCCGCTGTATCCCACTGATTGCCCCCCTCCCTACGAGGCTGTCATGGGGCAGCGGGCAGGCAGCCAGGTGAGCTTCTCATGCAGGCCCCCATCCCCCCCACCGCCTGCTGTCTGTATTCCCAGGCTCCCTCCTCAGAGTTGGGTGGAAAGTGCAAACGAGTAAAGGACCCAGCAAGCGTTAAAAGCAACAATTTTGAACCCAACCCAAAGCCAAAGCTATACATAACAAACTGGCCCGTACCTGGCCTGAAAGCCAACTCTGTCAGGGCCAGTCAGGCTCAGGTTGGGTCCCACACCCCTACCTTAGATCCCATGTGAACTGGTCACATGATCTCCCCACTTTTCTTCCATTGGTTCTGCTTTGAAATGCCCTCTGAAGTCCCTTCTGCCTTGTTTATGCCAGTTCCCTCACATTTAAAGCTACGGTAATGGTTTACATGAATTAATGCCTTCATAATGCCTTCATAGTACATTCATGAGCAGCATGTACATAGGCTTTAACATAATGTAAAGCACTGCATTTATAACACTTTCAAGGCTAGACAGCTGTAATATACATTAATAACAAACAGTATAATCTTAACCTTGGTTGGTCATCAGTTGGGTGTCCTGTAATTGGTTTACTAAATTGTGGTTGGCTAGGCAACGGTGTACGACACCCATGTGACCGAGCTGTCAGGCGAGAGGGGGACATCAACGGCGTTCAGCGGTGAGGGTGAGTGATTGTGTTTTTCGTCTGTGGTGGGAAGTATCACTCAGCCTGCGTATCCATAATATGGCATCTTTAAAAACATTGTGTAACGTAGATGCTTTTTAATCTCTTGTTTCGTTTTGGTTGGTTTGTTCTGTATTTTTTTCATTTTAGGTTGAATCCGTTCGGTTAAATTTTAATTAATCTGATTAATTTGCATGCGGGGGGGGTAAAGTGAAAGCAGGGTGGCCGCCCTGCTTTTGTGACCCCAGCCTGCCCCCCCACCCCCCCAGTATCCATGGACAGCGGCTCACTCCTCATGTCGGAGATTGTGGACATACCCGACGACAGCTCCCCGTCAGAGGATTCCTGCCTGCTGGAGGTGGGAGTGGCCATGAGGACACGTGTGGGCGGGGCCGGAGGCGGGGCTGGGGGAGATGGTGGCGAGTACGTCAGCTTCCACTGCCCCCCCCAAGGGCAGCAGCTCCCCGAGAGCCCCATTGTCTGTCTGCCGCCCCACCGCTTCTCCAGAGGCGAGCGCTCCAACTCCTGCTCGTCTCCCAGCAGCTCGGCTGACGCCCCCTACAGGTTGGACTCTGTTACTGCCTTTGCCATGGGCATTGTGCTTTGTCAGTTGTGGGGTTGATCCAGGCTCTCCTCCTCTTTGCTCCACCCCTGTCCCTGCCCCCCCAGGTCCCCTGTCCTCCGTCACCAGGCCATTCTGGCCAGTAGCTGCTCCCAGCTGGAGCTCCTGGCTGTCTCCGGCTCCCCTCGTTCCTCCATTCCGGAGATCCGCGTGCGGCCCTGCACGCCAAGCCGTCACAGCTCCGACTCGTCCTCCGTGCCCATGGGCACTTCCGCTACCTCCACGGCCGACCACGCCAACGGCCCCCCGGCGCTACTCCTGCCCCCGCCCCCCCGCCGCGGTGTGGCCGCCCGCAATCGCCGGGACCGGGACTCACTCAGTCCGCTGGTGAGGTCCCACAGCGAACCGGGCCTGAACTCGTCAACTGACACGGGTACGAGAGAGAGCGCCCCCTAGCTATCTGCCGCCGTCATGCATGTCATGAAGTACGAGCTCCGCCCAACTGCCTCTCTTCCCGCACACAGGTGACCTCAGCGGCTCGACAGGCAGCAAAGGCGTGAGTGATGAGGTGTCACAGACCTCCTCTGAGACTGGTAGGCTCAAGACATAACCCTTGCAGACCATGTGACTAGACCCCCAAGGCCAAATGAGGCAGAAATTCTAAGGGCCTATAGTGCCTACTGCTTATTGGCTTATTTATCCATCCTTCCATATTCCATACTCAATTATCCTGTTCAGAGTTGTAGGGGGGGGCGGAGCCTATCCCAGAAGCTATGGGCGCGAGGCAAGGAACAACCCAGGATGGGGCACCAACCCATCGCCGGGCACAGTCACACACCAAACACAGCTATGGGCAATTTAGCAACTCCAATTAGCCTCAGCATGTCTTTGGACTGTGAGGGGGATCCAGAGCACCTAGAGGAAACCCCACAGTGACACGGGGAGAACATGCAAACTCAACACACACGCAGCCGGGGTGGAGAATCGAATCATCATCAGCTTAGTGCTAGAGGTGTGAGACAGCAGTGCCAACCGCTACGGCACCTCGCTGCCCCATGTGGCTTATTGAATATTTCAGCTGTAGCGGCTGTGTTCTGATCTGTGGCTTATGCCCAGATGTCCATCGTAATCAGTGTTTGAGCAGATCGCTACAGATGTGCAGGGGGCGTGTAATGTCACACGCATCTGTCTGTGGTCCTGAGGCACATTTGAGCTTCTGTGACCATTCTCTGGGTAGGTGCATCTGAGCAGGCTACTGAGGTCACATCCCTCCTCTTTTCCGATTGGTCGACTGGCATCACAGTCATTATGGTTTGATTTGATTATGTGCCTGTTTCTAATGGGATTCGTGTATTCCGGTGCATCTCTCCGTTAAGTGAGTGGACCGGCCTGACGAATTTGGTCCTTATTCCTGCTGTTACTCCTGTACCAGATGCCCCTCCCCGCATTCCATTTTCTCGCCTTTCTCTGCCTCCCATCGCTTAGGTCCATCTTCAGAGGCCTGCTTGCTGCCCAGGCCCTCAGTGGCAATCTTCAGTGCCCTCCCCAGGAAAGGGAGCATGAAAGCGACAGACGGGCCTCTGCCCTCCAAGCTGCCCCCCGCCACGTCCCTCCGGCTGCCCAAAGATTGCGCCCGCTCTCTCGGGGACCTCAAGGTCAGGGCTCAGAACGGCACACGCCCACTGTGCCTCCCGTCTCCGTCCGGCCCGGAATCTCACCCAGCTGCCCCTCTCTTTCCGGCCAGGTGACCAGGGTCTTAGTAGCCAGATTCCTTCAGCGTTCCAAACGCAATTTGGCACCCCCTAGTGATCAAGCTGGGAATGGTGGACAGGCAATGAAGTGCAAGCCTCCCGGAGATGCCAGCGTAGCAGGTCACCCGTTCGAGCAGGTGAGCTTCTGGTTCTCGCCTGAATAAAGGTTTAATTAACGTGGCAAGATAAATGTGTGTAGTGTGAGCATGCTTCCCGTATGTGGTTCCAGATGTTGGAAAAGCAGACTGTCTTTGTGTAATTCATGTATTAATGTGTACTGCAGTAGAACAAAGCAGGAAAAATTTAAATAATTAAAACAATTTCTGTCATTGAAATAAATTAGGCGCATGTATGTAAAATGGTAAATTAGCACGTGTATGTAGAAGGATATAGATGGTGAGGATAACAGCCCCGTTCTCTTTGTGACATTGGTGTTTCCACACTGCTGCGTAGGTCCTGCGCACCTCATGGGGGTCCAGCAGGGGTCAGCAGTATCATCAGCATCACCGTGGCCACCATTCCCATAGCGACAGCCGTCACAATCGTCGCCGTAACAACCCGGCACAGCTGGAGGGCATCCATCTGCGCAGCTGCGGTGATCTGAGCTCGTCCTCAGCAGCCTCCCTGCGCAGGCTACTCTCTAGGCCACACAGCTCCTCAGGAACACTGTACGTGGAGTCTGCACTTTGAGGGGCGTGCCCTCAGGACCCGGGAGTGGGGAGGGTGGTTTGAGGCAGGCAAGAGGGGCCGAGGCGGTACAACGACGGGGTGACAGACAGAGGAAGTGTTTAAGCGACAGTGTGGATGTCACACCCTCAATGTTTACCTTGGCCAAAAAACTAGGAAAGACAGAGAGTGGCTTGGAGAACGAGACAGGGATGTCGAGGGAGCAAGACGTGTAGCCAAGGCTATGCTGATGGAAGTGATGGATGAATCACTGGCAAAGACATTTGAAAAAGACATTCAGTGGAGAAGAAGACCGACTCTCTAACAGTACTCATTAGCAGGGAGCAGGCCTAAAACGGACAGTCATCCTTGCAGACTTTGAGAATGTACTAGGCCTCTCCCAGTTACTGTGGTGCTCTTTCTTGTCCTGACCTCAGCCCGTGTCCACGCCCTCTGCCCCTCCTCCTCAAACCTGACAGGCTACCAGGAGCTTGTGTTGCACACGAAACCAAGCTGTCCACGCACTTCTGCTTTGTAACTGACTGGGTCATTCCCTCACTCAGACGCAAATACCATCGTCTTCCACGTGTGACGGATGCTCCTTTATCCTAAGTGGCGAAAGGGAGCTGTAGGATTCTTCCAGCGTGGACACGCTGGATGCAAGGAAGCATTTATTCAAAGAAAAATTGCAGCATATTGTGTGAACTGTGTCTATAAGCCACTAAACCTATTATAGTGATGTATTTATGATTTGTTGGGGGTTTTAACTTCCACGGATCCCTATTCAGCTGCTTCAGGGGTGAAAGTCACTCTTTTTAGAGTAAAAGAGTTTGTTTTTTTCTCTGTTTTTAAATGTTTTATTTCTATTTATTATATATTCAGATTCATTTTAATCATTTAAAATGACTTCATAAACTTTAATCAGTCCAAGCCAAAGAGGCTTGGTCGTTCAGTTGCTTCCTTGTGGCTGAGGTTGTACCCCTATAATTAAAGGTTCTTCAGGTGAGACCCTACTCTCATTGTAGGGTACTGAGAATGGTTTGATGTTACTCAAAGAGTAAGTTTCTGTAACAAGACTCCCATTGCACATCAGGTCTGGTCACTCCGCTGTAGATTACATTAACTGTTCACCCGGCTGGCCTTTAACCTACAACCAGTCATACACCTGGGTATTTACTAAGGAGATTAGGAAAAAGTAGCGTCTTGGTAGTCTTCAGCAACAATCCAAAAAAAAAATGAAACGCAAACTGCAAAGTTTACACCTCAGTTTACTATCTGCACCTTGGGAATGACTTTAAAATGTGGCTGTCTGGAACATAAAATATCTTGAATTCCTTTTATGAATGCATGCTTTGTAAATCTGAAGAGGACCCATGCAATGGAAGTCCTGATCCTATGCTCCATTTCTGGTTTTCCTGGTACCAGTCAGTTTGCTGTTGGACTGCATTATGTTTAGAATGATTCTGCATGTGTTGTGACGTTTTATATTTATATATATATATTTTCTACTAGCACTCGATCAAAGGAAAATGTGTTGTCCTGTTGCTATGTAGAGGAAAGGTCTGTTGTTGTCTTAATAGCGCGGCACCTTGTGTCATAATGCACGTCTGCTCAGAAGTCAAAGGCTGTGGCAGTAAGTATTTACAAATGTAAGTAGACTTTAGGGAGTCCACAGCAGACAGCGAAAGGTCTCTGTTTTCAGGATGTGGATACTAACACAACTGGACTGTAATTATTTTCAGGACTACATTGTGAAGGAGCAGGGTTTTTTTGTTGTCAGTATGAATATCCAAAGAGTACAACAAAATGACGTTTTGTTTGATAAGGGTCACCGTTGGATTTCGGTGAATCTACACCTGGTCTTCCTTCTTGGACACAGTGCCATCTGCTGGTGGTCACTGAACATGCAGCAGCTCTCAGTAACATGAACAGGCACGATTGCAGGTTTAATCAGGTTGAACTTGGGAGAGTTAAAATGGACCTTTAGTTTCTACCTCCTGTCTTGCACACTGAAGAGAAATTTTAAATAGTATGGCTATTCATGGTAGGCCCTGGATTCGCTCTCAGAAATATGATGCATAAAAATTATTTAAAATGGTTCTATTTCAAGAAATTTGAAAGCAAATTATGTATATACACACAGTGTATATATAAACACATACCAACACCTATAAATATCAGGAATATGAAGTTGGAGTGTTGTGTGGTCTTTTGTGTGTTTTGTGAGTTTCCATCCACTTTCCTGTTTGACAATTGAGGTTCAAATATGCAGGTCAGTCCTACATGTCTCTTGCCAGTCTGTTGTTGCCAGTGCAGTCTTTTATGTGCTGGTGTGTTGGGGCAATGGAATCAGTACCGATGATGCCAAAAAAGTCAACAAACTAATCAAAAAAGCTGGCTCAGTTCTGGGAGTCACTCTGGACTCACTACAGACTGTGGTGGAACAGAAGACCCTTAGGAAACTACTGGCTATACTGGAGAATGACCCCCACTCTCCTCAGGTCATCTTGGCCAAGTAGAGGAGCAGCTTCAGCAACCGACTGACAGCTGTGCTGCTCCAAGGAGCATATTTAAGGTAGTTTCTACCCTTGGCCATTAGGTTCTACAATAAGTCACCATATGGCAAGGGGGGGACAGCCAACTGTCTGAAAGGACTAAAACCGCTAAGGTATAGAGATTGTGGAAAACTAGCATAAGCAAAATGGACTGGAGAGACTGTATCATGTGTAATTACTAACTTGAATTAATTAAAATACATCTTGAGAGGAGCTATGAATTATTATACAAGTCCTAATAATTCTTAAAATTCACGTCAGAATTGACTTTCTCACAAGCATAGACATTAGTGGAACATAAGCCAAGAATTTTTGTTCCTACTTTTAGATTAGATTAAATGAGCTGTATTGATCCTAGAGGGAAATTCTTGCGTATACATAGGGTACATACATTTAGTGCAAAACAGACACGCTACAAAGACAGTACAAGTAATAGAAACAAATTTACACAGTACACAGTTTAAAAGAGTAAAATGTGTATTTCTGACCTGAATGTGTATTACACAGATCTGGAGAGCAGTTTCCTCTAGGAAAAGTTGCTTCTATGCACAAATGCTGGCTGACTCAATAGTTTTTGTGACACTGAAGTTAAACCAACAACATAGTTATAAAAATTCTGAAGGATCCCTGGAAGAGACACATCAGCCCGAAATGTTTAATTAATTTCAGTGTGTCTGCCTGAGATGAGTTATTTTGGATATATAATGAGAAGATAAGTGACATGGATTCAATCATCCTAACAAATAACATGCCTCTAGGAAACTGAAGACACAGCCCGAAGACAGGATATTCTGTATGTCTGCTGTCAGTATGGACTGGGTCAGGAGGAGAGGTTGACAGCTTAGGCCACCACTGGTTGCTGACCCTGTTTGGTGGCTGGCTTTTCTTCATAGCAACACAGCTGCTGTACCACATGAGCCAAGCACTTGTGGGTCTGTGTGGGATGCTGTTGCTAATGTGAAAGGAGACCTAGCCTCTTCCTCTTACACTCTACCACCTACTCCATGCCCCCTACTTCTTATTCCTACCCCCTACTCCTTATTCCCTACCCCCTACTCCTTACTGTCTACTCCCTACCCTCTACTCCTTATTCCCTACCCCCTACTTCTTATTGCCTACTCTCTACCCTCTACTCCTTATTCACTACCCCCTACTCCTTACTACCTACTCCTTATTCCCTACCCCCTACTCCTTACTGCCTACTTCCTACCCCCTACTCTTTACTGCCTACTCCCTACCCCCTACTCCTTACTGCCTACTCCCTACTCCTTATTCCCTACCCCCTACTCCTTACTGCCTACTCCCTACCCCCTACTCCCTATTGCCTACTCCCTACTGCCTACTCCCTACCCCCTACTCCTTACTGCTTTCTCCCTATCCCCTCCTCCCTACCCCCTACTCTCTACCCCCTACCTCTTACTCCCTACCCCCTACTTCCTACTGCCAACTCCTTACTCCTGTGTAGACTATAGGCTCACTGCTCCTGTCATAGCTCACCACAGCCAGCAACTCCACTGAGGGTCTGACTTCTTTGAGTAATATGCATTTCAAAGGCAGTAGGTCTGCTGGCTACCTCTAATGCCTGACATGCCATTGGGTCAGCAGTTTGGCCCTGTGAATTTAGTCAGGGAGAGCATATTAAGCTATTTGCATTCTCTGTAGTTCTAATGTATGAAATCTTTCCTCATATCTTGAAATTCAGGTGCATGCCTTTGTTTTTCTTCATTATAGATAAATATGTGGAAAAAAATAATTGTGCAGCTTTTTAAATTACTTTGTATTCAGCAAAGAGTAAGCCCTGAGATCAGGGTTCAAGGTTCCGCCCCAGCTCCATGTGTGTAGATTTTGCATCTCCCTGTGTCATCATGAGGATTCCTCCATTAATTGGAGTTATCAAATTGTCTGTAGGTGTGAATGATGTGTGTGTGTGCGTGTGAATTAGGTTTATATTACATTGTGGACCCCACAATGTTATAAAAAAACCTGTTATTTTCATATTTTTTCAGGTCCCCACAAAGGTCTGTGAATACAATCTAAAAACTAAAAATGCCTATACAGTCTCATATTTTGTTTGGTAAGCTATGGGTAAGGTTAGGGCTGGGTAGGGGTTACGGTCGTCATGTTGGGATTAGAGTTTTCCCCATAGAAATGAGAGTCCCCACAAAGATATAATTACAAACCTGTGTGTGTGTGTGTGTGTGTGT